AAGATCCTTATATAAGCAATCTGAGTTTATGCAAGACTTTGTTATCTTGTGATAACATATATAACTTGTTTGAAATGTTTATATATTAGCGGTCAAGTTGATTTAAACTTGGTACAATGATAAACATTCAGAGTAGTTCGTTCTTGATCTTTCGCCGTCCAAACGCGATTTGTTTAATCGCAAACAATTTCCCCTGTAAATAGCGATGGATTTTTTTATATAAAAAAGAATTTTTTTGAATGATTCGAATTCTCTTATTTTAATTTATCTGTGGAGATTTTCAGTTCCGAAGACAAAAGGTCCAGAATCATGCGGTGAAATAAATCAAGCAATCCTGGACCAATCAGAACGAGTCTAGTTCTCCTATGTTAATCTTATTCGATGGCGGGTCTATTGGTTTATGTCAAAGTACAACCAATCGGGTTTATTTTGTTGATCCGATTAAGGTATTTAGTATCAAACTCTTTTAAATTCCCTCTATTATGTCTTCTTTGGGTTAATGAGGTAGCAGATGGTCTCCAACGGAAAGACTTTACATAAATTATGTATAAGAGTCAATTAACTTTATTCTTTCCGTTCGTGGAGTGTTTAGATTGTTGACAGTAGAGTTAATCGCTATGAATGAAAGAATTATTTAGCAAACAAACCTACTGCACGGAATATATATTTGAAATACTGACATGAATGTGTTTGTTGTGGCTATATAACGTTTCGGTTCTACTTGATTCTGTCTCAATATTTACAAATCAAAAGCCCGCATATAATTATTTTGCGAATTGTGAAAACTGTGAATCTATTTTGCAAGTTTTGCTAGTGATATTTATATTATTATTATTTTGATTATCATTATTATTATATTGCTATTATATTATTATTATCATCATTATCATTATTGTAGAAAAATAGTTGATATTTTTAATATTTTTATTATGATTATGATTACTATTATATTATCATTATCATTATCATTATTACTATATTAATCATAATTATTGTAGAAAAATAGTTGATATTTTTAATATTGTTAATATTTTTATTGTGTAAAATTATAGAATATTTTAATATATAGTAAATTTTCATCATTTTAGAGAAGTTATTTTTCAATAAAATTGTATTTATTATTATCATTATTTTTATCATTATTCATAATTTTAGAAAACTTCTATGAAATTATATTTTAAGTTTTGGATATTATTATTTAACCTTGATAACTTGATCAGTTTTAATGCATCGTCGATTGAGCCAATATCGCGTAGTTGAACAAATCCACCACGAATGCGATCACGCAACTCCAGGCATAATATATACATATAGACTATTCCTTACAATTTCGTCCCTCTTCATTCAATGTAACCCCTCCCCCTCTACCTACTCATTCGTGGAGATAGCTTTTGTGTCGAGTTAAACGGTGTAAATACAAATTTCCGTAATTGAGCTTTCAGTTCCACATCTCAAGCTGTTTGGGCTAAAGTTGGTGCAATTCCGTCTCTCCGTTGTCACTGTAATCTTGGCTGCTACAGAATTCGTCTCTATGCTTCCTTAATTCTTCATATTTAACAGATTCTTCATCGCTTAAATATTCACAGCAAAATTGCTCAAGCAAACGGAGAGATTTAGTTGAAAATCGTTGTTATTTGACTCAAACTAAAGTATCTTCAACGAAATGTCGACTTCAACCTGCGAGGACTCGCCACTGAAGCCGGAAAATGGGGACGTTGAAATTGTACATGGAAAATCGAAACCGAATTTCTTTGCCTCTAGGAAGTTTCTGTACATTATTATAGCGGTTTTAGCTGTTTTGTGTTTGTTGTTCTTTATATTATTCCTAGTTTTCGCGCTTTCTACGGCTTCAGAATCACATCACAAGGGAGAATCTAAAATTTGCGAAACCGAAAGTTGCATATACGCCGCATCAGGTCAGTAGTTTGATTAAACGTAACGTTTGTTAGTATAGTGTAACTGTCTGTCTTATCTAACGAGTAATATTGAATACAGATATTCATGTTGTTTTAAAGTGCTTTCCATCCGTAATTATCAACTTTACAAGCAAAAAATTACAGATTTTTGATAATGCTTCTACGAAATTAACATTTTGTGGGCAATTTCAACAATTTGAATTCATTTTTGGGCGCATTTTTGAAGTTGTTGTGATCGCGAAGCTGTCTTGCATCGTTTTGTATTGAAAACCAGTGATCCGTCGGAAAACAAGGATTATATGACATTGGCTTCCAATGGAGAATCGACCGGAGAAATTCAAATAATAACCCCACACACAATAAAAACCCGACAGCCCCTTAATTCCTAAGTCTATTTCTTTGTCTTTCATTGCAAAAGCTAAACACCGTTACGGATTGCCAATCAGACCTTCGGTTAATACATTTCGAGAGTGTTTTGCTTATTTTGCCTCATCCTGCGACTCAACAAGCCAAAATCTGTCTTGGTTTTTGAAGATTTAACTATTATCGTGCTAATTATTTTGAGTGGGGTTTGGTAMTTTGTTAAGTTAATTAGCACTAGGCAATTAAAATAGACTGCAAACTTCAATATGTTAGCGTAGAGGTGTAACTTATTACAATGCTTATTTGCCGGCTAACTTATGAAACAGTTTCTCTGTCCAAAAAAAAATATATATATGAAATAGAGTCGGGGTTCTTTCAAGTCCGGAAAGTATTATGAGAACGACTTTGATTATTTTTTAATAACTAACAYCTGGACTTGTTCTTTATATTTACATATTTGTCAATCGGTTTGGTATAAACTTTAATGTTAAGTCCCTATGAAATACCGACTCGTAAACCAACGGTTATTGTATGAAAGGAACTTATGGTAGACCATATCCCCCTGATTGACGAAATATGGCAAACCGTGAATCAAACATAGTGCTATTGTTATTGTTATTATTATTGTTATTTATCATATAATTATCTATGAAATACCTATATTTCTCCATTTCGTAAACTTGATATTTTCACTAGTGAATCGAGGTTTTTCTATAGTGGAAGTAAGAAAAAAGGTATTACGACATAATTTGCATTCATATGTAATAATATGATAAACAGAATATTACATGGTCGCTTGGAGATACGGATTTTATCTTCTCGTGTTGAAAATCTCTCACGAGTGAGCTACGCTCTATATATTGTTAACGTTGTTATTACTGTTGTTATTTTTATTACTGTTTTAATTAAGTTTCAATTATGATGAGGATTATTATTATTATTATTATTGGCATTATTAGATAATTATTATTATTATTATTTTATTAGTAAAAGATTATTTTAGATTTTTGTCATTTTTAATGCTCTCACTACATTACATAAGATCTCATTATCACATTACTATTATTATAAAATAATAAAAACATATTTTATTTAAGAACAATTTTTTTTCTTTTTTTCTTTTTATTCTCTTGTATTTATTATCCTCAATTTTTATCTTTGTGAAGTAGTTAGTGTATTATGTAGTATTTGAACTTTTATACAAAATTATTATGAATTTTATTGTTACTATTACTCGATATTTTTTTAGAAGATTGTAAAATATTTTACTAGTGGAGGATTTATAATTAAAAAAATAAATAAATAGATAAAATAATAAAAATTATTATTATTATTATTATTAATATTATTATTAAATTATACATTATTTTTATTTTTTTATTATAATTATTACTTTCAGAGAAAATTATCCACAATTTAACACTTTATATATATGTGGACATTGTGTTGCAAAATGCTCTCTTGATTTTATTCTGATTGTGAAAATCTGAAACTTGCGTATGACAAACAAATATTAAAGGCCTACTTGGACGAAAATTGCGAAACATTATAAAAGACTTGGAAATCAAATAGACCTATCCATATATGGACCTAATAATCATGAAGCAACAGATTTCAAGAAGATATTGATACAAATCCTTAATAATTTRGGCAAAAAATGTTGGAGTAGATGACGTCATTTACTCAATCCTTTTGTTCTTCCATCTTTTGAATCAAGATTTCTCTGATGTGGGATGATTCAAAAACAAATATTTTCTCGCAATTGTTTTTAATAGATATAAATGAGTCATATATTTGTATTTCTTGAAGTTTTGAAATAAGACCATTTTCATGCAAGTAGCACTTTAATTGAAAAGATATTGGAAAAAACTGTTTTCCAGCTATTTAAATTGAATTGATTTGGCATATTTATAGCCATGTTTTTTGAATTTTTGTATTTATTGTCTGGTCATCCAATTAATTATTCTGAAGACAAGTTGCTACAGTGGTTGCTTGCGCTAAATTTCTAATTTAAAGCTTGCAATTTCATAGCGAGAGTTTAATTATTGGTCGATGGTTTTAAACCGCAAATTTCTTAAATATTTTTTTTTCAAAGTTTATGTGAATTTACGTGTGATTTCGTTTCTTTTAAGTTTTCCTTATTTTCCCTTTTTCTATTCAGCATAAATGAAATTAAATATATAAATGCATCCYCTATATAACGGACAAGTCCATATTACGAGCGCTTCGGATACCTCAATTCCGCGGCGATTTTCCTTCGTCGCAACAATCGCAGGGCTGTTTACACGTACGATTTTTATAGTTGCGCGATACCAAAGTGGCGATTATCACGCTGCAAAAATCGCAAGTGTAAATGGGCCTTTACAAAGTATTTCTCATTATTGTCTATTTTTCTTTCCTCAAACAATTTTGGTTGCGCGATACGGCAAAGTGGCGATTATCGCGCTGCAAAAATCACAAGTATAAATGGGCCTTTACAAAGTATTTCTCAATATTGTCTATTTTTCTTTCCTCAAACAATTTTGGTTGCGCGATACCAAAGTGGCGATTATCGCGCTGCAAAAATCACAAGTATAAATGGGCCTTTACAAAGTATTTCTAATTATTGTCTATTTTTCTTTCCTCAAACATGACCGGTCTTATTTTTTGAATCTAATGGGAAAGGGGGTGAAAACGATCAATATATGTGCATTTTAAAATTCTTTGTTTTTATGTGGACAGGTATTCTCAAATCCATGAACAAGTCTGTGGATCCGTGCGACGACTTTTATTCATACGCTTGCGGTGGATGGTTGGCAAGTAACCCCATCCCAGACACTAAGACATCATGGAGTCAGTTTAAGATTCTAAACAARMGAAATGAGGCCTTGATGAGACAAATGATCCAGGATCCCGATCTACGAGCAAAGTATAGCTCAGTATGTAACTTATRTGTTGTGGGTATAAGAGAGGGGCTAGGGGCGGATCCAAAGGGAGGGGGGGCATTTGKGGTTTCAACAGGAATCGAACACATGATCAGTGCTCTACCAACTKAGCTATGAAGCCAACTATGTTGGCGAGCGGTCATTTCATAGGGTGAATCCATCCATACTTAAGGAATAAATGATGAAATGATATCAAAATAGTTAATGTGGCATGYATCTCAGTTACTCAATTCATTACAAAGGTTTTCTATTCAAAATATTTCAGAACGAAGCTGTGAAAAAGGCTTTTGACTATTTCGACGCATGTATAGATGAGGCAAAGATTGAAAGTTTGGGGGCGAAACCATTGCAAAAACTTATAAAGGACTTTGGATCGTGGAATGTTACTGATAASAACTTTAACGCGTCGGCTTGGGATTTCATGGGTACCTTTGTCAAGATYCAAAAATATCTTTCRATTGCGCCTCTTTTCAACATGTTCGTGGCGACAGAYTTAAAAGAATCGACTAAGAATATCATTGTGGTAAGGTCATGAGTTATTWTTAATACACAMCTTTGCTTTCTATGGCCCGGTTCATAYGTCTTGCTATAATCGTCGCGCCGAACCGAATAGTCAATTGGTGTCCACCCAAATAACATTCAGTACGGTGTTGATTCATACGTCGATCCAAATGCAGTCAAAAGCATAAGAARAGGTCTGATAACACGCAATTTGCATCCATTATTATTGTCGAAAACATATTTTTGTGCGTTGAGATTGGCGCGACGAAACGTCGACGTTTGAATCAGCGTCGAGCTTTTGCYGTGCTGCACGACTGACGCTGCCGTGCTACAGTCGCGCCGAACTCAATTAATTCATACGTCGAGCTATTCATGTTCAAACTATTTGGTTTAGTATGGTGCGACGCTGGCACGACGTATGAACTTTCCAAACCAATTAAAACTAATGCTCATCATTTCACATCCAATCATCTTTCACGTTATAATGGTATATTGTTGAGCCATGTGTATTAAATTTTTGTTTAGTTCGACCAGAGCGGTTTATCAATGTCCAGAGACAGCTATTTCTACAATACGTCATTTTACAATAGGGTAAGACCCTTATGTAATACATGGTACGGTGGATTCGGGGGGAGGGGAGGAGGAGGGTGGGGGAGGGTTCTGTTTCTTTAAGAGTGTATGTCTGACAAATGAATGACAAAACGTTTGAACTCATCTGTAACAACGTACGGAATACATTGCAATGCTTGTGATGATACTTTATTCTTTCATTTATAAGCAATTGTAGACGACATTTTCCCATTGCCAAAATTCAAGCTAAACGACCCTTTCTCACTCAACCCCCTGTATCCGTCATACGAGTTTTATACCCT